GCAGGCCTCATGCCCACCATCTTCCCTTGTCTCCTTTGGGATGGTAAAGTGGCTTCCATTCCTTCATGCAGCACAGATCCACCAAAAAAATCCATACCTGGCAAGGCTGGGGAAGCCCCAACAGAAGGCTCCAGGTTGGTCTGAGAGTTCCCAACACAGGCAGCAGAGACACTGCAAACCCAATAGCATCAACACAGACAGAAGTGGCATTTAAGTGCAGAGTTGGTTGAAATCGTGTTCTTTGGTGTCCAACAAAAATAAGTTCTTAATAGGCACGGAGCTAAGTGGAGTCACCCAGAGTTACAATTTCCTTTCAGCAGATATTTCATCTTCAGGCTGTCATTTTCACTCAGGCCATGATTAAAACAACAAACCCTGGAGAAGCCACCCTGCTCCCCCCACCATCAGCAGCTGCTTCTCCTCCATGCAGCCATTCATCACTGAAAAAGTGGAGCTGAAATCAGAGACAGAATATTACTATTTATTATTCCTAGATGCCATGTTTGGCCAGCAAGCTGTCCTTGGTAAAGTGGGGTTGGCCACAGCTGCCCCCCACAGCTGCAGACTGAGGAGGGAGGTGTCACCCTGTGGTGCAGGAGATGCCTCAGTGCTGCACCAGGAACTTCACCTCTGGCCTCTTGTGACAGGCAAGCCATTGCATTGGAAGGATTCTTCCATTTACCTCTGAAAATCTTCTTGGACATCTGCATTCCATCAGTGAAACTCCACCTTGATAAATGGTTTGTAAAGGGAAAGGAAAGAAAGGAAAGAAAAAAAAAAAAAAAAAAAAAAAAGAAGGAAGTATCATGCATTGCCAAAAGAAGCAGTTAGCACATTCACCATGACTCCCAGCCCAGGTTCCTGTGCTTTTGGGCAGCCCATCCTCCTGGGATTCTGCTCTTCCCACCCTGAGTTTCAGTCTGGATAGCACTGGGAGGTCATGGCCTTAAAACACCCGGGTGATAGGCGTGGAGCAGGGATATGGGCTGTCCTTGAATTTGCCAAGATATTTTGTCCATGCACACCATTCCTGTAAGGATCCATCCCCTGGGCTGCACCAGGGCTCACTGGGCACTCAGGAGACACCCAGAACTGGCCCACAGCAGAGAAAACAGCCCAGGTCCTGCCAAGCTCAGGACGCTTCACTGGGGGCACAGACATCACTGAAATACAAAAGTTTTCTTGGAGTGTTTTCCCCAAAAGCTCAACATGTTCCACTTCAGCAAAGCTTCAAAAATCTATTGTGTCAGCTCTTCTGCCATGCCTGTGCATATTTGCATTTTCCTTGCAGTATTTTTAGAGATTTCCAGTCCCCGGCCTGATTTGGGACAAAGTCAAATATGTGAATCTTGGAAACTGCCACAGGAAAAGAAACTCCATTTTTCACCCAGCTTTAGATACAGCCTTCAGCCACGGCAACAAATCTTCTGCCAGCCTGGGGAGCTGTACTAGCCTCTCAGATAAGGACTTAAAACGTGGTCCAGAAGGTCTTTGTCCTGCAGCCAGTTTGGGGAGGTGCTGCTGTCCCACCCCTCCAAGGATGGGCTCAATATTCCCACAAGATGCTGGTGGGAGGCAACAGCAGGAGGGGGCACGTGGCAGAGTTCCCTGGCTCCTTGTCCCATCCAGATGAGTGAAGAGCTCAGCTCTCCTCCAAGATATCCCAGTCCCCCAAGGGTTCTGTATCTACAAGACTCACATCTCTGCTGAGGCAAGGGAGGAAATGATGGGGCTGACTGGAAAATTGTTCAGCTCCCAAGTCTGGAGTAGGATGAGCCCCAGCTCAGGCACATCAACCCAGGTGTCAGCTGAGGAGTGCCCAGCACAGCTGCTCCAGCCACCATTTCTACCTGCACTGCTGCAACAGCTGGGCCCTTCTGTGGGGTGCAGTCCCAAAAACTGTGGGGTGCAGTCCCACAAGCTCTGGGAGTCCCCTCCTTCCAGTGTGGGATGGACCTGATGCCTTGTGACCTAGAACAGAGACTAGACAGAGTTAAAGAATAAAGCAGGGATTTATTAAAAGGCCTCCATGGATCCACCTTGGGCAGCACAAGAGCCCAGCCAGGGTTGCACCCAAATGAACCAAAATGGCCACAAAATTCACAATCGGCCATGGGGTCTCTCACTTCCATAAGTTCTGGTCCATTTGCACATTGGAGTTTGTTGTCCAATTCCAGCTTTAGCCCATGAGGTCCCACCCTGCTTGTTTTTCTCTCTTCAGTCCATGTTGTTTGTGCTCCTGGGCTGAGATTTGGATCATTTGTCCTTGGTCCCCAGCTAGAGCAGGAATTGATTTGTCTCCCTGCTCTGTGCAGAGAGCTCACCATCCCCTAACCTAATGTGAAGCCCAGACCCACACACTAAAGCAGCACAGAATCTGAAAAATAGAAAAGCTAAAACCTGAGGCAACATTTCCCCCCTGGCTCCTTTCCTGGTTGAACATGATGGTCTGTGCTGAGCAGGGCTTCCCAGACTGGACAGAGCTCCTCCTCTGGGGACTGAGAACCCCTCACATCCTTGAGGAAAGATCACCACCTCCTCTGCTCCTCAGGGGTGGCCGTGGAGAGCACTCATCTCCTTCCCACAGCAGCTTTTTGGGCAAGTGGCACCGAGCCCATTGCCTGGCCACTGAAATGTGGTGCTTGGGGATGTCCCAAGATGGGTTTATGGCCTGGCTAATTTTAGCACCTCCCATTTAAAAGGAGGGCTCCACCTGGCCCTGCTCTGAAACATCTGGCACGGCTGGGACAGGCAGAGGCAGGAGGCAAAGGAAAAGAGTGTCTGTGCTGAGGGACTGCAGCCAGACAGAGAGCAACATTTGGCCAAGGCGCTGGAAAGAGAAACTCTGACCTCAAAAAAGTTATTAAAAAAAAATATAATGAAACATCATAAGGTGTTGGTTGCCATTTATCATCTTTTAGGCTGCTGTTAACTCCCACAGCACATTTCCCTGCCATGGCACAGGGATGTCAATCCTGCCCCACCAAAGTCACTGAGCTTTGTCTTCACAGCTGGAGACCTTAGGGCCCCATCCCAACAATGCCCTCAGAGCTCCAAGGTGTGGACTGGGAGACTGCAGGGAAGGACAGGCACAACCATCTCCCAGCCCCACCTTGGAAGGGGCCACTCCTCTCAATGATCTTACAATGCCATTTCAGAACCAGCACGTGGCTCTTGGATGCTGCCCCAGCCTTGCCACACCTCTCCCACCCAGGGCACTCTGGTCCCTGCAGCCCCAGAGATGCCCTCCTGCCCCACAGCAGCCATCAGGGGCATGGAAGAAGCTTTGGACACAGCACATGGTCCTCTCCAGCCCCCCAAAAGTGACTGCTGGCCTACCTGCCTTCCCTCCCCAGACTTTTTTTTTTGCAAGACCTAATTTCTGAACCCCCTTGAGTGCACTCTGCATCTGGTGAACATCTGCTGGTAGGACATACAGGCCCTCCTGGCTTGTGAAAGGACCTGGCGTTTCCCCACTCCTGTTCTCCTCAATTTTGCTGCTTCAGAGGATTTCATCCCATCTGATGAGCAGGCAGAGACACAGAATAACCCACTTGTGCCACAGCTGGCTGAATTGTCAAGATGAGAAGATGACCAAGTCAGAGGTGTTCCAAGCAGCTGAGGGGCAGAAAAACAACTGGTTGGAAAGCAGGGAAAGACAAGGAGGTGAGCTCAGGAGCAGTGCTAAGCCCAAAATCCAGGCTGCAGAGACCCAGACAAGCTGCTGGGCATTGCCCCTGCTCACCTGGGATCTCACTGCAGGCTGAGGGGAGGCTGCCACACCCTGCTTGGGCCACACTTCTTGGGGATTCTGCTGGAAAATCCAAGCCCAACTGAGAGCTGGAGCCATCAGGTGAGGAGCCACAGCACAGCATGGCCAGGCCAGGAGATGGACACCTGCCCAAATGTAGCTGAGAGGAGCTGGCTGCAGGTCTGGATGGACATCAAGGCTTGTTCAACTCTCTCCAAACCACTCCAGTCTCAAAATCAACTTGGAAGCGATGCTATTTACAAGCCTGCTTCCTTTGGCAACCAAGAAATAATAAGCAAGAGGGTGATATTATTATTATTTCAGCTTCAGAGGAGGGAATAATCAGCTTTCCAAGGAATGCAAGCTTGGCTGACTGCTGAGGGCCTTGCAGAGATACCCATCTCCCCTTAACGGGCTCTCTCTGGGGACTGCCCTGCTGAAATTTAACTGCCCGGGGAGGCTCAGAAGCCAGATCAGCAGGGACACAGGATGCCAAGCCAGACACAGTCCAGATTCCCAGCAGCTGGCTCGAATCTGAACTCGTCATTCAGTGACCAAGAAGGGAAGCTGCAGAAGCCCCCCAGCATCTCCCCCCAGCCAGCTGCAGCTCCCAGCAGACCCCAGCACTGGAGCACAGCTCACCAACTCCAGCCCAGCTCCACATCTTCAGGAGATAAAACCAGCCCCACAGCACCACTCCCACCCCTGTGCTTCACTAATTAGCCCTGATGACCCTCTGAGCTCCTTCTGCCCACCAGCCTTGCTGTGCAGTGATCTCCCTGCTGAGCTCTCTGTTCACTTCTGCACAGGGATGGGACTCAACTTTTCCTCTCTTCCAAAGTTTGTTGCTTTCCCTCCTCCCCTCCTTCCCTGCTGGTCACCCATCCCCAGCACCCACAGGGGGATGTCCATCCCTGCCTCACCTCCCTTCTCTGCTCCCCTTCTGCCCCACGTTCAGCCCCACCTGGTGTCTCCCCCACCAGCCCGGTGGGGCGCAGGGAGCTGGGACAAAGCCACGGGTGTGTCTCCACTCCTCCTGAACTCCACCTCTTCTAGGAGAAGGCTTTGTGGATGTTTCCTGCCTTACACTGCTGCTGAACTTGCAGCTGCCTGACCCCAAGCCCAGCTCCATGGGCTCCTGTTCCCCTACAAAGCTCCAGAGGGTTCCCAGCCCCAGCCAGCGCTGTAGGACACCTCAGGGCAGCAACTCATGACACACATGTGGCAGCTTATAGAAAGGATTGAGGAGTCTCTTCCCCCTTTTATTGAAAATGATCATTTCTATTCTAGTGCAAACACTGTACATTTTACATCAGAAAGCAAGAGATAATTTACAGGATACACTTCCATCTGGAAATCCTGTGGCTTCATGGCAGCCTCGTCAATCATCCATCCCTGCCATGCACAGAATTCCCACTTTGAGGGAACCAGTCACCTATTTCTCTGCTGAGAAAGGGAGAGCCTGAGGAAACAGTGCTCATACAGAGTAGGCAAGAGGAAAATGCATTAAGACACATTTTCTCCCCTGAATGGTACCCAAACTTAATGATAACTGTGGTAACCATGGCAACTTCCCAGCGATACAACTGGAAATCTACTGAAACCCTGGAGAACTGCACTCTTTGAGGATAAGGCCTTTGATTTGCACATATATTTACATGGTTTAATAAAATACAGATTAAACATACACAGTTCTTAAATTTCACTTTGGCTTGAGCGACGACAAGTCACTGTCTTTTGGCTGAGGTCATCAGCAATTCAGAAACAAAACCCAGAAGATTTCTGTTCATCCAGCTGGACTCTGGTTAGCAAATCCATGTAAACAAAGCAATACTGGGTCACCAAAGGGGATGTAAAGGTTTTACCTGAGCTGACTGATACCCGGTCAGCTGTGGTGGCACCGCTGACCAAGCAGCCCGACCCAAGACAAGACCCAGCTCAAACTGGAGGTGCAGAAGCTCCCAGTCTCCCTGCAGGAGCAGCCCCATGCCAGACCACCCAGATAAAGGGAGGAGGCTGAACAAGGGCTTGCACTGGCATTTGTGAGCCCCTTGATGTGACCATCACAGTGTGGGGATGGAGATCTGAGTCCACAGCTGGGTCATGGGGCACCAGGAGCTTCATGCTCCCTGAACTGCCCCGTGATAACCTCAGAAAGTCGTGTCCCTACACAGACAACAACAAAAGCTGCTCAAGGTGGTTTTTCTACTGCAGAAAAGCTGAGCAAAGACTGAGGGCAAGAGCTGAAACTCCAGGGTGAGCTCTCAGGCCAGCACAGGGGAATTCACCCAGGCTGCTGGCACTGCTGGGATGGTGGTGGGCTCTGGAGGAGGGCAGCAAGGCAAGGGGAGTGGAGGGCACCAGCTTAAGGTACTCAACAACCAGTTCAGCCTTTGAGTGGTGCTAATCAAAGGCACTGTGTCCTTTCTGACCACATCCTTCGACACTTTGTGTGTTTGTGTAGGCACAGGAAGCAGGAGAGAGTTTCTAAGTGCAGCCTGAGATTTCCAACATGATCACTTGGCTCTAGGAGCTGGACCTGCACTCTGCAGGATAGAAATATTTTGGTTTACACATGTGAGGTTCTCCAGACTGCAGGTGGCCAAAAAAAGGGATCAAACAGAACATGTTGGATTTCTGAAAGCACAGTACTTGCCCTGCCTCCCTTTCCCTGGTGTTCTGCCTGTGACTTTCAGCTTTTTGTCCTGATCACAATTAGGTTTTTTTTCCTCAAAAATACCCATACAGGGAGGCAAAAGAAAATCCAGCAGCAATGCATACAATCACAGGCACAACTTACTCCAGTTTGGATTCGGGGCTTTTTAGTTTGTGCTAGCTCAAATATTTTGGCTGGATTTCCATTCATCTTCTGCCAGTTTAATTTTCACCTACACTTTAAAGAGATTTATTCCTCATTTCCTGCAACATGCTGTTTTAGACTATCAAAGCCCACTGTCAGACATCTACATATGCCCAGAGTGCCTGCAGCAAACACCAGGCTGGAGATTTAAGCCACAGTACCAGAAGAATTTCTCATGGCTCAGCTTCATTCTCCTTCCCTGGTGGTGCAGCCTGGAGCATGGAGTATCTCTGCTGCCTTCAGGGCTGTTCCATGGCATTTTCCATCTCAGTTTGGACACAAGTGCTGTTTGTCATAAATCAACCCCCTCCTCCCCCAGATGAGAGAGACAGGCATCACCAGCAAGGAGAAAGAAAGATCCTAATTTCCTCAGGATATTTGCGTGGAAGAAATGCCTTTTGGGTTGCATCTCCTCTATTCTTCATGGAGATAAATTAATTAGGTCCTAATTAGGTCTCCAGAACCCAGAGGGAGGACAGCAGGTAGGGGAAATGGTTAAGGCTGTAGGACAAGCCTGAGTGAGCAGTGTTAAGGGATCTTTGGTGGCATGCTCTGTGCTGAGACATCACTTGTGCCCAGAGGGACTTTCCCTGGGGATATCCCTGCGTGTTCCCAAAAGCCACATGAACCAGTCTGGCTGCAGAGGAGCTCCTTGTTGTGTTCTGTGCAGCTGCCCATGGGAAAAAATCTGCAAAGAGGAGCGTGGCTCCCTCCAGCACTGCTTCTTTGGGGTTTCTCACGGGAGGACATGAGCTGCCTTTCCCAGAGCTGCCCAAGGCTGCAGGGAAGAGCTCTGCCAAGGCTGAGAGAGGCTGTGGTTGGAATTTCAATGCACAGCTCCACCTGGATGCAGCACAAAACATCCCGAGCGTTTTCAATGGGTTTTATTTTGTTTAATAAAAAACACCAACCAAGCTTGCATGTATTATCTTATATATATAAATATATACAGTATATATAAAACAAATGCATCTGGACAACGCCTTTCCCTGTGGCACAAACTGTAAGGCATAGAAAGGAGTGTCCTGACAGTCCTGTTCTTGGCACTACAGAGAGATCCCCCTGCTACACTCCCCCTGCTCACACACCCACGCTGTCTTTGCTCTCTTCTTTGGCTTCTTGAGGCAGCAGTGCCGGGAGTACTCAGCAAAACAATGGAGCTCTGCAGAGCCCAAGGATGTTTTCCAGGCAACTCAGACAGCAGGAATCCATCTTGCTGCATTAAATGGGCTTCTGGCAGACTGCTAGGAATGTGCTGCCTCTGTGGCACAAGGGACTGGAGGGATGAGGGTCGGGTGGATATCATGGAAATCGGTGACCAAACAAATTCTTCTCCTAGGGTGAGCTGGGGCAGCGGGGGGATGAGCAAGCTTTGCACCTCAGCGTGCTGGTGGTGGCACTCGTCCGTGGGCTGAGATTGGCAGAGGTTTCTTTTTGCAGTAAAAAAATGGAAACCAGCAAGGGTGAGACTGTCCTTTACTGAAGAAGCTCGTAGTATATTGAGCAGAAGCAATAAACCCGACGATAACAAGAAAAAAAAAATGGTGGCATTATCCCAAAAGGAAGGAAGAACCTTATCACTCACAGGTTCAGTTTGCTCCCCGTGTTCAGTTCTGGGTGAAGGTTGGCTTTTTTTTTTTTTTTTTTTTTCTTTTTTTTTTCTCTTTTATTTTTATTGTGTTTTTTTTTTGTTGTTGTTGTTGCTGTTGTTCTCTTTTTCTTTTTTTAAATTCTTTCAGCACAGATAGGTTGCGAAGCAGGACGGGTGCTGTTGTGTTTTCTCCTTCTGCAAGGCAGCTGCCCCCAGTCGTTAATTGACTGTGGGCACCTGATTCCTCTGTAAACTATATTCCTTTGCCTTCAGTCTCAGGTTGGCAATACTGTTGGCCATGTTCATGCCCTGCGCCGGGCTGGTGTTGGTACACGTGGCAGAGTAGGTGGCCATGGCACTGAGGGGTGGAAAGAGAAACATCACGTCAGACATGGCCTCCAAACCACAGCAGAGCCTAAACCCTGTTTTTTTCCATACCTGTGGGATGTACTCCTGGTGTGGTGTCAGCAGGGAATTACCACTCCCCTTTATTTAACACTCCAGTAAATCTTTCCCCTGCTGTTCACTTACCCAGCACCAAAACTGGCTGAAGTCAACAGGAAAAATTTCCACTTCCTATTTTCTAACCCAAAAAAAAAAGGTTTGCAGTGAGGTCAGCCTGCCAGTTAGACCATTGTCCTTAAAAGTATTCCCACTGGAAGCAATGTCTTTTTGATGAGACCAATTGCTGGTTTTACAGCCTGTGAAATCACGTCACTTCTGAAACACATGTTACATTAAAGAAACACTCTGGTAAAAACCCGTTTCAACAGTTGTGATGTTTTCTCATTTCAGCCTTTTGGAATGAAAATTTCCACATTTTTTCCCCCCTCATAACTTCAGCTGATTATAAAGAACATGTCCTAAATGCTGAAGGAAAAAACCCAAAACATAAACCACTTTTTCTCCCTTCAAACTTTATTCATGAAAAATATCGCTTCTGACAGCAGAGGCTGAACAAAGATCTCCAACTCCTTTCTTATCCTACCAAAAAATCTGCAAAGCTGCTTTCCTGACCACTAGAAAACTTGTTTAATCCATATGTCCCATGGGTTTCTGTGAAAAGCAGCTCCCCCTGCCAACTCCCCAAAACCCAGCAAAGTATTTGCTGCATTTCCTTTTACATGGGTCCACAGACCAAAACCAGTTGAGAAGCACCACATGAACTAGAGGTATCCATTTAGCAGAGAATGTTCAGGAGGAAAGCCCAAATGCTCTGCTGGAGGCCAGCTCAGCTCTGGTGCTGACCTTTCCCATCTGCATGCCTGGTGGCTCACAGCTGAGGCTCTGGGAAATGCTCTGCTCCATCCATAGACAAAAAAAACCCAAAACACCAAAAAAAAAAAAAAAAAAAAAAAAAAAAACAAAAAAAACCCAAACCAAAACCACCCAAAAAACACCAAAAAAAAAAACCAAACCCCCCCCCCCCCCAAAAAAAAAACCAAAAAACAAGATGGGTTGGGTTTTTTTGCCTTTTTGTCTCTTTCTTTTTCTGTCTCCACAACTGGAAATGCCTTTGCAACAGCAAATATCCCTGCAGGGACACAGACACCTGCTGCACAGATCCAGGCTGGAGCTGTGCCTGCTCATCCCAAGGTGCTGCTGGTATTTCTGACCTCCCAGGAGTTTATCTGCCACCCAGTGCTGTATGAATCCTCAGTCTGCAGCAGATCCAGACCAGGGAATATCTGCATTTCAGCATCCAGAACACGTGGATGTGTGTTTCTGGAGCTCTTCTCAACCAGCTGCACCCCCTCATTCCCTCTCCATGGCTGGGCAGGTTGCTCTCCTCACCCCCAAGTGCTGCCTGCAGGAGGGTGCAAAGCTCCACAAGGTGTAAATGTGTGGCTACTTACGCCCCCATGCCCATCAGCTTCCACAGGGTGCATCTCTCCCATGTTTTTGAGCTGGAAGAAGTTTGGAGACCTTTAAGGCTACTCCAAACTAGATAAAATAGGGGTTTTCAGTCAGGGCTGTAAACTGTCCCCATTCAAAACCAGGCTGCTGGCCAAGTCTGGGCTGAAACTCCTGGGAGCCTCAGGCTCCCAGCTCCCCAGGGGTGTGGGGAAGATGATTTCACTTACTGATGCCAAGTGAAATCCCTGCTAAACCTGGGATTAGAAGTGCTTTCTTTCATCAAGTTATTCCAGCAGGAGCAGTGCACCAGAAGGCTGCGTCCAAACACCAGAACAGCTTGAGAGTTGCTCCAGAGACTCTCCAGGGTCTAATAAGGGTTGAAGTCACCCTGCTGCCCCCTCCCTCCACCCCATTCAGGCAGAGAAAAATCTCCTTCCTCCACTCAGCTGTCTGCTTTCATGAAACACAGAGTAGCATCATGTTTCTGAGGCTAAAAATCCTTCTTTCAAATAAGGTTTTCAGTGGCCCATAGAGCCAAAGGTTGCTGGAGTGGGAAGTGCATGCTGCCAGTCTTATTTTCTTAAGGACCTATGCTAAAAAAATGCCTTAGTAAAACATTTCTCAACTTCAAAAAAAGCATAGTATCTTCTTGGCTGTCTGCGTGACAGAGATCTGCAAATAGCTTTCGTTGACCTGTGGCTGAATGTATTTGGAGAATAAACACATAGATTGAAAAGTTTTCCCAGATCTGAGAGTAAAACCAGCCCTGGCCACGCTGCTCCGGGCCCTCCCCAGGAGTGGCTGCTAATCAGGGGCTGCTACAGCACTGCTGCTGAAACGTAAACTTTAAGGAATTTAAGATTTTAGTTAGAAATAAGCCTTACTAGACTTAATTAAAATAATAATAATAATAAATGAGTAGGCCTTGATGAAGTTAAGAGTTAGTAGTTGACTAATAATTGATTGCTTGTCAGCACAATGTTTGGTTAGCTGGGTTTATAATGAAGAATATAGAAACTGATAAATAGCTTTTAGGAACATAAGACAATTGTGGGGCTCCTCTATTCTGAAACCAATTGAAGACAAGAAATGAGAGTTCTACCAAGAGTTCATTTGTCATACTTGCATTGAAAAGGTAGAAAGGTCAGAACGAGGAAGACTTAATTGACTTCCTCATTTTGGGACCCCTCCCCATGAAAGGGACACCGACCCATTTCAAGGGACAAACCACGCATGCTGAATGGCTTTTGGAGTGATTAGCATACGAAGCGGGGAATGGGATGTACCAAAATGATGAATATGGATTTGTATTTTGGGTGTTCAATACTTGTATGGATAAGAAGACTCTGTAATCACTTTGAAGCTGCAGTGTGGATTTGGGAGCGATCCCACACACAATAAACACACACTTTCTAACTTTAAACTGTTAGAGGGTTTTTGTCCCTTACAGTTGGATATTGGTACTAGATCAATATCCATATTTTTTTAATAAATCACTGGGAAGATAGGGAGGGGGCAGGGGGCCATGCAAACACTCCACACGGCTGGAGGGTTTCACTAATGGAATATTTGCATGGCTTTACTGCAAAGCTTTAATGAGCCTGTCCCTTTCAGGTGAATGTGACTGTCAAGAGATGATCAGTAGGATCAGAAACCCTGGGGAGCAGGGAGTGTCTGTGGGTCCTGTGCACCCCACAGTGTGGAAAGCAGCTGCTTTGTGCTCCTCTGGCAGTGCAGGGCAGCGGGAGGGTGCCACTCCAGCCTGCTTAGCCTTTGCTGAAACATCTTGGCTGCAGACAAGGCAAGGGGAAGGTGTGTCTCTGCATTGTGGATAGGCACAGCCTGGAGCTGAGGGGCTGGAAAACCATCCCTAAGGCTGTCCCTTCTCCCAGGTTAGCACATCCCAGGTGCTGCAAATGACCTCAGACAGCCCTTCCCAAGGGTGACCTTGGGAGTTACCTTTGCAGGGCCTTCTCCTCGCAGTGATTATGAAGCTCCCTGTGTAAACATCAGCTTAGGAGGGAGAATCTCTTTTTAGGAGTGTGAGAGGTAGAAATAAGCCATGAGCATTGAGCAGGGGTCTGGTACTGTGACCAGTGCAGTCTCACTGGGCCGGGGAAGGAACTCGCTTCCCTTCCCTGAGCCCACCTCCCCAGAATGCTACACCAAGCAACACTGCACAGGGAGAAAGCCTTAATCCCTAAAAGAGGGATTTTCACAGAGAGCAGCCCTCAGAAAAAAATCCAAAGGATAAGGGCCGTTTCTAAGCTGGTGGCCACCAAAAGCATCCTTTTCCATACCAGGAGTGGGTGGGTCTATGACTTGTTCTTCTGGACACACAGGGTGGATGAGAAGGACCCCACAGAATGAGCAGGAAGACCAGACCATGTGTTTGCAGCTCTCACTGTGCAAACAATGCTTGGAGCAAAAAGAGGGTCAAGGTGACCCAGCAAGAGAGGTCCTGTGCAAGGCTCCTGGCAGGCAGTGGGAAGCTGGCAGTGACCAGGCCAGATGAACAGGAAGAAATCCAGCCAAAGGCTTCACGGTCCCGACCAACAATGAAGCCACTGTGCTAAAAAACACCCGCCAACCTCATTTTTAACTGCCTGTGAGCCAGCTGGCTCCCCACAAACCAACACATCCTGTGGATCTTGAGCCCACACCCAGCTCCTGCAGAGCTGAAATGGCACAGAGAGGAGAGGGAGGCCTGTGATGTGCATGGACATCCCAGATCCTCTGAGACTGGGCTTGCCACAGCCATGCTCCTTTCCTGCCATCCCTTAAGCAGCACTGACCACAGGAGGTGGACACTGAGCACCAGTCTGTCACCTGGCCCTTCATGCAGGCAAGCCACAGTGCAACATTCACTCACACACTGTGCTCAGGCAATAGGAAGAAACTGCCCAGTGCTCTCACCAGCCCAGTGCTGTGAGCACTGCTCCACAGGGACGCAGTGAGCTTCCAGCCCTTGCTGGCATCCCAAGCAGTGAGTGCCACGGGACAGCCACAGAACTCCCTCTTCTGGCCACTGTCTGGTGGCTGAGCCTCCCCGAGCGCTCTGACCTCCCTCTCCTGGATCTCTGTCCCATGGAGAGGTTTCCTCCTTGCTATAAACCTGATGCACTGGGGAAAACCTTCTGTTTTCGTGTATTTCTACCTGAACCTCTTTCAAAATTCCCTGAATTGCAGAGAGAGCCCCCCAGAAAAGAAGCTGCCAGAAAGACACAGCGACACCGAGCTGGGACCACACTGTAAAACAGGCAAGGAGATGGGGAGGGAACAGGTGAGGAAAAGCAGTGGATGGTCAGAGAGGTGAATCCTCCAGCTGTGGCTGCATCAGAGCTGTCTGAGGGCCGCTTTTGGGATGGTCCAGCGCGGTCCCCCACTCACCTGTAGGGCGAGGCGGTCCCCCAGGAGAGATAATCGGTGGGTCTCGGGGCGGGGCGAGGTACTATGGGCTGCTCCACGGCCGTCACGTCCCCTGAGTAGGATTTGAGCAGAGAGGCGTTCTTGCTGGCCAGCATGGCCCTCTCGTTCCGGCGGAACTTGGCTCTCCGGTTCTGGAACCACACCTGCAGGGGGGACACACGGGGCCACCAACCATCACAACTGGCTCTGCTGCTTGCCCATCCCCTGCGGGCTCTGGGGAAGCTGCCTGCTTCCCTGGCTGTCCCTGGGAACCCGAGGGGTGGCATAATCCTGGTGCCTGTTCTGACCAAGCCCTTGGTGTGCGAATCCCGGGCTTCCCTCTGGCTGCCCTGGCAGGTCTGGGACCCTGGCAGGGGTCAGGAACCCCCCTGGACAGAGCCCCGAGAGACACTGTCTGTGATCTCTGTCCATGGAGAGGAGTTTTCAATCTTACAGGATGAATTACAAGCTTTGAGTGTTTGATAAGAGTAATAATTAAGTGTGACACGGGTGCAAAGGTAAAATTTTAGATTTCTAGATTAAGGGTTCAGAGGGGACAAGATGGAGGAATTGGGTGTGTCTTGTCCTTTTCCTCCTTCTTCATGCCCTCCATGTTTCACTGTGGTGTTGGCATTTTTCTGTTGGTTTAGGCTGGGGACACACTGTTCAACATAAATGATAGATATTGGCACATTATTGTAAATATAGTACACGTAGTTTCTGGTATTTAATGTTTGTACCATCCCACTGAGGGCAGAGCCCCACACGCTGCCCTGCAGGACAGAGCTGCGGCAGGGCAGCAGAACATGTTAGAGATAAGCAAGAATAAACAACCTTAAAAACAGCACAGACGAATTATGGCTTCTTCTTTAGCAACGGGGCAGAAAGACAGAGACTTTCTACACTCTCAGAATCACCAATACCCACAGATTCCGACACCTCGGGTGAGGGGCTGGCTGAGGGACACGGGCGACGTGCGATGGCAGCAAGGCCTGGCAGTGCTGCCCAACACACCGTGTTCCACGGTCTGCTTCGACCTGCAGAAGGTGCAGGCCTGCAAGCTGAGAGCTCAAGGCAACATCAGCAGCCTGAGCATCCAACATCTTGGCCATATGGGCACACCTGAGCGGGCAGCTGGAGAATGGGGTGGCGGGTCAGGCCTGGCAGTCTCCCTCAAGGCAGGAGCTTGGTGACCCTTGTGTGCCACACAGACCTCAAGGATTTCTGCTGCCTGGCTGGAGTGGCCCCCAGGTGAGGCGTGCCTGGGTGTGAGCCGTGGGATTACCTGAACTCTGGCTTCAGTGAGGTTGACTCTGCGTGCGAGGTCTTCCCGTACGAAGGCATCGGGGTAGTGTGTCCTCTCAAAGACCCTCTCTAGTGCCTGCAGCTGGCTGCTGTTGAAGGTAGTCCTGTTCCTCCTCTGCTTTCTTTTCTTCTTCTCTTCTGAGTTCAGCTGATCATCTAGGAGAGACAATTGGGGATGTGAAAAGTGAGAAAGCCACAAGAAATCCACAGCCACGGGGTGAACGACCTCAATGGTTTCAAGAGGGAAAGGGCTTAGGAAGGGGCTTGCACAGTTTTAACCCCACAGGTTAACCACACTCTGTTAGTCCCCACATAAAGAGGAGATGGAAAGTGCACTGATCCCAAGCATTTATTTGTTAATTCCACTGCATAAGACTTGTGCCGGATCTCATAAGCTACCCCAGGTCTCAGCTTCCTTATCTCTAAAAAGCAGCAAAAGAAAAAGCCCAAAATGCATCTCCCCATTCCTGAAAATCCCGGAAATCTCTTCTGATGGCAAAGAATGATAAAGCCCTGTTCTCACTGCTTCAAATTTCCAAGGACTGCTCTGACTGGGACATAACACAGCTCTCTGGGGTAAGAGCACACTCTTGGACGCTGTTAGTGAGGAGCAGCTGTGCCCTCTGCAGCATCCTCCTTGCCTTGCTGAGCCCAGCAAGGTGTTGAACAACCACCCATAAGAGCCCATATTCTTTTGTACCTCGTTTGCATTTACTCAGAAATTAATGAACACATCTGCATCATGCCAGCATGTGTGGGGTGCCACCGAAAAATCCACATTACCCTGGGGGGACCTGAGCCAATATTCATGTCAGCATTAAAGTGCATTAATCTCTGAATACATAAAAGTGCACAAGCTAGTGAATCATATTCTAAGTTCACCACTGTACATCTTGGCCCAGGTGCCAGTGTCACCACTGAGAGTGCCAGAGCTTGACCTGCTATGTACAGATGGAGAACAACCCCTAAACAGTTACTCCTTTTGCCATGTACAAATGTGACAGCTCCTCTTATCCCCCCTCTTCTCCAGGGGGTATGTAAGGCACAGGCTGACAAGGAAATTAAAGTCTGCAATTGTTGTCTTCACCACTCGTTTGTGTTGCTTTTCACAGCCCATCTGCTACCAGTTAATGCACCTGTACACCTTTGGAGCAAGGCCCATCCATTTGAGAACAAAAGGACATTCCTCTTAAATTAAAGCATGGTTTTCAAATTCCTTCAGGTTTACAGTGCCTTCATCCCTAATCCTCCTCCAACAGCCTGATGATCCCCTGATGAAGGCTCCTTTCCAGCCTGGGGATTCCTGGGTGCAAAAACACACCCTTGGTTTTTCCATTTCCAAGAGGAAGTGTTTGGAGACCGGTTTTTAACAGGAATGCTGAGTTGTAAAGTTGAGCTGGAAAGGGACTGGCAGAGTCAGGAATGTGCAAGGAAAAAAAGCCATGTAGGAATCAATCAAAGCAGGGCTACAGGTGAATCTATCAGCTCAGGTGGTGGGAAGCAAAGCAGTGGAGCAGAGGGATGGCATTGAACTGCTGCTTGTGCAGAACGCCCTGCACACATTTCTCCCTGCTGGAGGGTTTAACGCTGTCACAGGGTCCATCCCCTATAAAGAAGAAGAAAACCCCTGTATGTCCCTCTCCACTCATTACTAAACCCTTCTCAAAAGGGTTCAGCTATTTCCCCCTGGCTCTGCTGGTGAGTTTCGACATAGCTGCGCTGCTGTGCACCACACAACACAGCAAACAGAGCCTCAGGGCATAAACGTCCCTCCAAATGCCACAAACACTGCAAGACCAGCTGCTGGAGAGCCCAAAGACAACACTGCCTCCTTTGGAGCTACCCACTTCATGCCATTTTCTAATCTAAACCCCATCTATGCAGAGCATATGAACAAATCAACCAAAGCCTTTGGGACCCCTTCAGAATCCTATCCAAGCCTCTGAAGCATCATTTCTGCCCAGAACACAACACCCGGCTGGAGGGAACACGAGTCTGGCCCTTGCTGGGTCCTGCGTGACAGCCACACATGAGGAAGGGTGAGCACATCCCTCTGGGGAGTGAGGAGAAGGGCCAAAGTCTATAGAACACCGGAGAACAAGAATTCCCCCTGCCAAGCACGTTAGCACAATTTGCCTGGTTTCCTCCCGGCGTAAAGCGAGACGCCGGTGATTCAGAGTTCACCTCGTAATTACTGAGCCCAAAAATAGCCGGGCTGGGGGACAGAAAGTGTCCGTGCTGGGTGACTCATGGCTGGGTCACTGCTGCCTCAAGCACCCCAGCCTGGGCTGCCACGGAGCAGGGATGTCAGTCACCCCCTTTTTCCAGGACAGAGCTGCATGGAGGTGACAGCAAAGCAGGACCTGCCACAGGGAGTTGTGGAATTTTGGGATCTCCTGTCGCCGCACCTCTGGAACGGCGCGAGATCCAAATGTCAACAGGAGCGACGTGGGTAGCAGGGGAAAAAAAATAATAACAGGATATTAACGCAGAGTAGCACAGGTTGGTCAATCCTTGTGTCTTGCCATATGCTGCTAAGGAGGGGCTGCACACACCTAAACCCAGCCTGCCTGCCAATGTCATCTTGCTCACAGCGCTCCCCGGCTGCCTCCAGCGTGTCAGCACTGTGTTCCTTCTTCTCTGACATTATTTCTTTATCAGGAAACAACCCTGAACCCTGAAAAATGGTATTCCTGAAAAATGGTATTCCTGAAAAATGGTATTCCTGAAAAAATGGTATTCCTAAACAGTGTTGACAGCATGAGTGACTAGAGTCAGCAGAAACGGAGAGGAGAGGGAAAGAGCTCTAAAGCTTTTTAGGTAGGTCAGAAGTCTTTCATCAAGGTTCTTTTAATCAGAAAAATTTTCTTACACGCGGCGTTCTCAAAAGCTGAGCAGCCTGCAAATGTGCCTCGCAGAGAAGTCAAAATGTGCATTCTCCTCTCAGGAACCCACTGCTGGAAAATCTGGGAATTTCATTGCCAAATCCCAGCCTTCCATGCTGGGACCACATTTCCTGTTTCCACATTTGCGTTTTCCTGTGTTATTTCTACCTTTCCCCATAACTTGCAGGTCCTGGTGTCATACACAAGTGCATCAAAGCATTTTCAAGTGCTCCTAAATGATTCAGCATGAAACACCCTATTTTTTTCCCTCTTGCAGCGAGGCAGATCCACACTTGCAGACACTGCAATCTATTCTCCTCGCTGCACAATGTCTGTCCCAGTGCCTGTAACTATCGCTGGGGCACTACTAGGCAGCTCCTCTTGGAATGCCACATTGAAAATTAAAAAAGCCCAACAAAGTTAAAAAAAACAATCCAAACATTAAATTAAATTAAATTAAATTAAATTAAAATTTTAAAAAATCAGAGTTGAGAATTAAATGCCTACGTAGGAGTTTCAAGATTGGTATTTTTTCATCAATACTTACAACCACAACATATTTTAGATTTCCAGTTTGCAGGAATTCTTGTGCATATTTGCATTCATTCCAGGTCAGAACAAAAGCTAATTTTCAGATGGGATTTACATTGTGTGGGCAGTTTGGAAAAGTTTTGACCAGTTCTATTAAGTCCAGAACCAGCTATTATAGTTCATTAATTGGATCCGAAACGAAAGTAAACCATTGGATTTAATTAAGGGAGGGACAGAGACACTTAACCACAGTATAATGTATGGTAAGGCAGCAAAGATTTGTCACATCAGTTATAGAAACTGTAAACTGAGGAAGGATTCCAGGAAGAAAATAACGACTCACACTCTTATCACAGCCTTCAAAATAAGAAGCTAACATTTGAACACAGATTTAAGAACAAGCAAGACAAATGATTTCACAGTGAAAAAAAAACCCCTATAAATTAAAAAGGCAACAACTCAAAACCCTTAAAATAAAAAAAAAAACCCCAAAACCCCAAAAAACCCCAAAAAACCAAACCAAACCAAACCAAAACAAAAAAACCAACAAAACACTGCAAGCAAATGAAAGAGAAAGTTTTATTCAGATTGGTGGAGAAAGAAAGGAAGAGGCAGAATAGAAGGGAAAAGAACAGGGTTTTTTATTTGGTTTAAACTTAAATTTCATGAAGCTTGAATAGAAATATTTCTGGGTGTTCCCCAGCTCTGGGCAGGCTCCTCTCCCCAACATCAGCCATCCAGTTTATAGCCCATCACACACTCCCAGTCCAGTTTTACCCACGCTCTGCTTTGCTTTCGATTCATGACATCCCTCCAAAACATTCCAAGACTTTGCGAGCAGGGCAGCTTTGTCAGCTGGCATCATAAAATATCCAAAACCAAAACCCAGACCCAAAATGTTTAATCAAAGCAAAAGCAAGGCTCCAAGCAGAGGAATGGGAACACACAAAACCCACAGGGTGACAAAGCCCCACTGATGTGAGACAAGGCTCACTCGGTTTTCCACCCCGCTCCTCCCGAGGGCTCGCTGTCCAGCAGCAGCATCCATTGTCTTTGCCAGATGTGAGCAGGGACAGAAGAGGGGCAGGGGGACATAAATGGATAAGATTTCACGCCCAGAGCTGCCTGAAGTATCTTTCTTTCTAAAACCTCCCAGGAGAGAACGAACTCCAGCTCGTGCGTATTTCTGCGCGCAAGAAAAGTGTTTCAGAATGGAAACGAGGTTTGACTTCAGGGCACACAAATGCTACGTGGAGAACGTGTAAGGACCCCACAGCAGCCATTACAAATGTAGGCAATATGGAATGAAGATAACACTTAAATAAAAGTAAATATCTTAAGGTAGGAGACGCCTATTAAGTCATGTACTTCAGTACAGCAGTGATACCGAGCCCAGCTGTACAACAGTGATAAGGGCAGGTTTTTATTCTGAGTATAGGTCAGACTATAGAGATTTTTAAACTATCATTTTCCTCTCATTACACAACACTAGCTGAGCTTTTTTCCTAACCTCTGCTGTTTGCTTTTTTCCCCTGCACTGTCTTAATGTTCAAATTATTTCAATTACAGAGAAAATTCAAGTATCCAAAGTTCCAGTCTTGTTAAGAGCACCAGGAACACAGAAAAAAAAAATGTAACAAAGAAACAGATGCTCTATTTCCTTTAAGAGCCATCTCTTGTGATTACCTCTCAGTCAGGTTTTGCACATAAATAAGAAGTAGTTCTGTGCATGAGCACGAAGCTTCAGGAAGGTGACACTGAATTTTTCATACCAAACCTGAGTTTTAACATTAAAGTGAAAAGCATGCATATTTTCAGCGTTACCCGTGGGGCTACAGCAGTTCCTCTCTGAAGTGTCTGCAATGTGGGACCTATCAGGGTGATTTTTAGCTGCTTGCACACAAACAATTACAGATCATTACAGAGCTGTGAATGGCTGCTGCGTGGATAGCAGGGAGAGCCCTCTATCCTTTGAAGGCCTTTTTAATAAATCCCTACTTTATTCCTTTAACACTGACTGGCTTCTGTTCTAGGTAGCCTCTCAAGGTATCATCCTGTTGCACTTGGCTCTGCCTGCCAGGCTGTCCTCCCTCAGGACAGTGGCCTGAGCAGAGGGAGCTCCCAGCTGCAGTGGCCAAAGGAGACATTCCCAGGTGGGATTCAAGGCACAGCACAGGCAGTGACTCTTGGCCCCTAGAATGAGATCTTGGAGTTGTCACTTTTTTCCAGGTGGAGAATCTGTAGATGCCTCCAAGCTCCTGAAAAGAGTTTCCAGCATGCAGTCTTCACCCAAACTTACCAGGCACCGGGGACTTGAGTGCATAAGCTTTCCCAGTGTTCTGGTCTGCAGGGGTAGGGTCCCATCAAAATCCCAACCTGCCCTGCTCCTGATCCACAGACAGGGCAGCACGAGAAGCCAAGAGCCCTATCCTAAGGCAAAAGTAAGCCAGAACTCCTTTTCAGGGTGGTTTCAGCTCTGGTGCTCTGCCTCTCATCTGGTGGCAACCTGTAGAGCACATGGGCAGTTACAGCAGCTAAGATGTGAGCTTTCTCTATTTCAATGTTCCCACTTGCTGGAGCTGACAGACGAATTATATTTGGGGGAGAAAAAAAAGAGTAATCATTATCCCATGGAAATCCAGAGAACTTCCCTGGAAAGACTTAACATTAAGTGTTAATTATTGGGAGAACAACATTTGCGGGAGCAGAAGTTTATATCCTGTGCAGAAATTGCTACAAAGCCATGGAAAGTCCCCCGACATCCCACAGACCATTCTGAGTTCTCCTGCAACAGTTCTGCTTTTATATTCACTAGAGTTTTCCTTCTGGGCATCCTACAGCTCATAAGGCACATGGCTTAGTCCTGCTCTTCTAACAAGCCTTTCCGACGGGTCTTGGGGTCAGAGTGTTCCCATAATACAATAAGCACTGTATGGATCTCATAAGCTCCAAGGCACAGTATGTTATGTGTTTGGAATTCCTTGTATGCTTTTATACTTTGTTTTACATATTGTAATTTTTATATGCATTACCACATTGATCCTTGGAAAATTAATTTAAAAAAAAAACAACCCCAAAAAACAACAGACATAATCAAAAGCAAACACATGCATTTAAAAGCCTGCCAGCGGCAAATCGTGTTCTGTGAGACTGCACTTTGTAACTGACAAAGACACCAAACCACCAGGCCGTGGCGGAGATCCAGCAGGGTGGATGCACCAGGCTCGGGAGGGGACGGGATCCAAGGGGGCTGAGTTCCCCCATGTCCCCCTTCGGATCAGCCCCACGCTGCAGAGACACCGGAGCCCCGACAGAGAAGTGGGAAAGCACTCGCAGAGCTGCGCCGGCCAAACCCCACCACCACACCCCAAAGTGTCACACCCCGAATGTCCCAGCACAGCACTGAGCTGCCACGGTGCCAGTGTGACCTCCAGAGCTTCCCGAGAGCCTCTCAGCCTCCACAGCTTCCACATTCCTGGTTTTGATGCCCTGTGAAGGCTGACCTAGAACAGAGGCTGGAATACAGAATAAAGCAGGGATTTATTAGGAGGCCTCAAGATGAACCAAAATGATCACAAAACGCACGACACTGCACACAGGGTCTCCCACTTTTGTAAGTTCTGCTCCATTGGCACATTGGAGTTCATTGTCCAATTCCAGCTTTAGCCCATGCAGTCCCATCCTGCTTGTTTTTCTCTCTTCAGCCCACGTTGTTTGTGCTCTCAGGCCTGAGATTTGGATCATTCGTCCTTGGTCCCCAGCTAGAGAAGGAATTGTTTTGTCTCCCATCCCCTCATATGAAGCCCAGACCCACACACGAAAGCAGCACAGAATCTGAAAAATATAAAAGCTAAAACCTGAGGCATCAGTTTCAGATCTGGATCAGTGCTTGAATGCCTGTGAACTCACAGCCTTGCAAGGTCAGGGGCTTGGCTTCCAACACCTCTCCCCATGAGCTCCCATTCCTGTGCCATGTGTCCTGATGTTTCATCTCAGGAATGGCATCGATTCAGTACAGATCAAACTTCCCAACCTCCGCCCTGCTCCATCGGTATCTTCTCACTCCTGAAGACGCCTCTCCACGTTCTTGATCCCCTCCCTGCCGCAGTTCATTCCAGAAAAAAAGAACAAACCCTTAATAAAGATTTCTTATTTCCTGTCCAGTACCCTTTCCCTTCCCTTCTCCAAAGACTTGAAAGCCAAGCTGTGGGACACTGCTCCCTTTCATGCACACATGGTGTGCTCCAAACCAGCACATCAG